ACTTCTCAGTCCGAGCAGCGTTTATTTATTTATAAACTACTATTACAGTCATTAACATGAAGGTTTCTGCATTGAGGATTAGACTGCCTATCTAATGATACTATGCGTAGACCAAGGAGGACTTTGAATTGTTATCTTATCCTTTGACAGTAAATCTAGATAATGGTGCTTGTCTGAATGAATGAATTAGAATATGCAAGCAAGCATCCTTCACAACCAGGACTGGTATCAGCCAACCTAATGTTTTTGATACTAAGAATGGGTGTGTATACATTTGACAACCATCTGGCAGGCAAGAGTTGCAGCTAATACGATCCACTCAAGTACAATCTTGTGTTGCTTCATAGCCATGAGAGTTGAGTGGCCATGAATATGTCCTCTCTTTGGATATGGTGTTAATACTGTCACAAAGGGGAAAACAACCCCCCTCCCATGAGTATCTCCAAGGAATGCCGCCAAGCCAGGCTGATCCACAAGAATGCAATATTTTCCCCTCACATACACTGTATCAACATTTGAGGTTGTATGTCCATACAGTCCTCATTCCTATATTTGCACATGAATGTATGATTATGCTTGACTAGATACAAAGCTAACAGCCTATCTATGATGGACAGACTTCATACCAGAAATACGAAGTGGCTTGCTCATTTAACTTTTTATTCAAAGTGACTGTATCTGCATGAAGGTCAATCAATTTGTCAACAAATAATAATGCACTGCATCTCCTGCCTGATGCCAAGTCTTCTTAACCAGCCAACAAAATATGTATTTCCGCTGAATTTCTGAGAGCAGTGACCTATGACTGCAACACTTATTTTTTATTCATACATTTGGCTTAGAGCTTGAATCCACTGAAGTCAAAAATAAGTCACAATCAAAGAAAGCTTAGAAAGAACTCCCGTGTGCTGAGAGTATTGGAGACACATTCAAAAATAATTTGAAATTGCATGTACTTGAGCTATTGATTGAAAAGTGGGAAACTAATTATGCAAATCAGGCAATTAATATTAACAGATTTGAGTGTAAAATGTAACAAACCATCTATGTACCAAGTTTCATTGAAATCTGAGAACCAAAAAAGTATGAATTATGTTGAATAGGAAGTTATTATGAAACCAATTTTAACTCAAAAACAAGACATGAATGTCAGCCTCTGTCATTTAATTATAAAATACTTGTGTTAAAATAATACATGGCACATCTGTAAACAGTTGAATTAATATGTACTCTATGTGGGGTACAACTCATCATAAAGTGATTTCCCTTAATTTAGTATTGAAAACTTCCATTGACCCATGTTCAAAATACACAAGTGCAACCAAACTGTCTCATACATGTATACATGCTCAAGAAACTGCATTCATCAACATGAGTAAACCTTGGTGTACCTTTAATAACAACTTGACTTCTTTGTTAATTACCAGGACCTGAGTTTGTTTCAGTATCACCACTAATTTCCGATCAAAATGTAGCCCTGACGCCCCTCTACAGTTACCACCAAGATTGGTAATGGTATGACCCATTTACACACAAGCCTGACAACTGAAGCTATATTTAGACCACATGTGTCAATGTGCTGGCCAATATTTATAAACAGTAACTGCCAAGTGTTTTCACTGATCTTCAACTTTGTGACCTGGTATTTCATTGATGGCTCTTTATAATGGCATGCAATTTTTACAGTTTAAAGATAAAATATACAACATTTCTGACCACTATTTCAAGATTTCAGCGTTAATTTTTCATAAAACTAAAAAAAACAAAACAGACTGTGTCCATTTCAGTCACTGATTCAGATCAAGGTCATGACATCACTGAAAACCCTAGCATTACAATCTAAGCTAATTATTTATTCTGAGCATGCTCAGTTGTTCTTTTAGTGTTGTTGGGAGAGGTAATTTTTGATGAAAATCATGAAAAAGACCCACTTAGTAGTTTCAGAACTGGAAACAAATTACTTGTTCATCAACCTGTCAAGTTTCATCGATATCTGCTGCAGAATTTTTGAGAACAAGTTAGAGATGTAAAGGAAACGCCACAGAATGAAACCGGGAATAAGAAACTATACTACTAATAATCAGGTTAGTATTTTG